GGGCAAATAAGTAGACATACATAGGGGATAGTTATCACCAGATCAACCCTTCCCCCTATTCTATCCTTTCCTCTGTGGGGACCAGGTGTTCTTCTGAGGGGGCATGACTGCAAAGAAAAAAAATATAAAAGCCTGCCCTCATGTTCACTTGGCATCTGCACCTGCAACTGCAGGGTTGGGAGGTGGGGAGGGGGAGAGACAAGGCGTCAGATAAGGTTGGTCTCTAGAGGTTACTAGCTTTGTTGTTTCACCACCCTACAGCAGACCTCTATGCCCTCAGCAACACCCTCTCCCTCCGCTTGACACATCTCCTTGAAATGAATGCCAGGCTTTGAGTCAGCAATTCAAGTTTCTCTTTCCTATAGACCAAGCTCTTTCTTGCTTTTTTCTCTAGCTGGTCAGGTATATTCTGTTTTTATTTTACTGTTACTGTTTTAAGCTGTTTTGTGACAGCTGGGGACAGGGTAGGCATCATCCTTTTTTTCTTAGCATTTTTGGCACTTATGCACTTCCTGTTAGTTTTCTCTTATACAGCGATGCATTTGCTACTCATATGTCTTACATTATTTACACTATTTATTTCAAATTCAATTTCAACAACTATTAATATATTTTACTTCCCCTTATATTTCTACATGAATGCCATTTCTTGTTCCACTAATGTACAGTATGAACATCAAGCCACCTTCTTTTCATCTTGTATTTATTTATTTATTTATTTATTTATTTATTGGGGGGCTTTTTAAATGCTCTCCGTGATGTGTTGTTGTTGTTTTTTTTTCTTCCTGTGGTTAGCCTGTTTGTTTCTGTCAGGCACGTTGCAGTAGCCTAGCACTGGAGGCTGAGCTCTGTCCTCACTGGGTTGTTCCCTCCCTTGAGGTCAGGGTGTGTGAGTCAGAGGCCTGATTCCGTCACCCCAGGTTACCAACTCACTACTTCCTGTCCAGAATTTAGAATGAGAAGGTGGCTGAGGGCAAAACGTTCCAGGCCCTGTGACCATGTGTCTGTTGTGTTACAGAAAAGCAGAGCAATTGTTATCTCGGCCATAACTCTTTTTGTTTGTTTTACTTTTTTTCTGTCCTGAAAGGACACAACCCAGAGAACTGATTGTGATTGTGCTAGATGCAGTTTGTGAACATACTAATAATTGTTGTGCTTGTTTTTTTTAAGTAAGATAAAATGGATTTCTTGGGTATATATACTCATTCATCATCTTCTAACAAATATTAATCAGTGTAGCTTTAAAAATAAACATATAAAAATGCCTGCTTCATTACAGTATGTTGACCAAGAGTCAATGTTAAAACCTAAAACATAATGATTATTTAAACAAGTTTGCGAAAAAGGTTTGAAGCAAATATATCAACACAGAAATAAATAGATATAGACCTTTGTAATACCAAAAGAACTATGTCATTGTTTATGACAGCTGGCAAACGATCTGGACTGGAGTTGCCTTTTTTTTTTTTGCTTTCAGTGCTTTCCCCGACAACCACCATCATCTGTCCGTGCTTGTATCACTGATGCTGTTGTCTGTTTTCATCTTTGTTTCTTGTATTTGGATCCTGGCTTCTCCTATCCAAATACATTGTGTAGGGTGTGAAAAACAGGAAGCTATGATTGCTTGAGATACAACATGTAGTCATTTGTCTCTGCCAACTGTAGCAAATAATTTACAACTGCATAATCTGTGCCTAATCTGACATGGTGACCATATCAAAAAGCAATACCTTGTAACTGTACTGCAGCTTTAGGCAAACCATGTGCAACTCCTACTGCAACCTAGAAGAAAGTAAAGTAATGAAAAAAGCAAATAATTACATTTCTATCACAGTCTTTCTACAGTCTTGTAAAAGAGGGTCTCGACTCCGTGTCTAATACAACCTGAGAAAAACTAACAACAGCATGATTGAAAATAGAGTGCCTGTTTTTCACACTCCTCATTTTCTGATGAGCTGAGTCTGACTGATTAATTAATCATTGTTTGTCTAACCAGAAATCTAATTAAAAATGCTTTGTTCTGACTTTGAAAACATTTACAGTAAGTTCCATAAGTAATTTAATTAAAGATTAATCTTTGAATTTATTACGATTTATTATGCAACCAGTAAGTTTGATGGATAAATTTTTGATTCTAAATGGGGGTTTTTTCTGCTCAAATTAGAAATGAAATCATTTCTTTATAGTGAGCTGAAATCTTATTGACATGATCTAGAAACATATTTGACCTAGATGGCAAGCACAATGCCAACCCTGCCTGACATGAGGTGAAATGAATCAAATGAACAGCTGTTGAATGGAGTTTGTTGTGTGAAAAGCTAGAATGCATTCTGCTAAATGTTCACAAAATGCATTCCGGTCAACAGGGCAGCGAGGCTACGTCTCTGGTCAGTAGGTTGTTGCAGACCTCTCCTGCCAACAGATAAGGAAAGAGATAGGAGTAGAAATAGGCATTGAAGCGCACACTGTAATAGCTGTCTGCTCTGGCCTGATGAGGTGGCTGGGGAATAGAGCCCAAGGATATGGGAGTGTTTTTGTGAGAGTGTGTGTGGGCTCATGTAGACTGATGAGGTAGCCAGGGATAAGAAGGCAAAGGAGGAAGTCTGCATGGGTGTGCCATACATGTGTGAACGGCAGGGTGTGTATATGTCTGATGAGATGGCCATGGTGAAAGGTGGTTGGACCAGGCTGTGTAAATGATGGCTGATGAGGTCTCTTGAAAGTCTATTTAGCGAGAGTAATGAAGTAGGTCTGCCAGGGGAGAAATATGTGGGATAGGCTGTGTGGCTAAGACAGACAGCTTGGTCACCTCACTCAACCTTTTATGGGGAGATGAAATGGATAAGACATATCAGTTGTCATGACTTGTATTCTCTCTGTTTGCCATCAAGAAGAAGAGGAATCACATCACTGCAATTTACAGCCGCTGATAGAATGTCAGTATCCACCTTCAGATTATGCAGCCTGCTTGGTGAAGTCCAGATGTTTGTCTATATTGTCATTTTATTTTCATTTAAAATAAACACTTAAATAAGTAATACTTAAGCAGACAGAGTTGTTTATTTACTGAACTAAAGCCATTATAAATCAGGAAACACTTCTATTTTTAAAAACTATTCATTTTAAAATACAACAGTGTTTTTTCTTTTCTTTTTTTAAACAGTTAACCATCAGACAGTCCAATAACACTTAATGCAATGATTGGTGAAGTCATCAGAGCTGTGAAAACAGCTTCTTTCTGTCCTTGACAGAGCCATTTGTAACAGCTATAAACAGTAGCCTGAACCTAGTCAAGAAACACAAAAGACTCAAGCCTTTGGGTTATTTACAAATTAAATTGGATTACTTTCTTAAGTGATTCAAAATGATACCTCAAATTCTTTACCAATGACACGCATATCTGTTTAGAATGTAGCATTAAAAATGGTTCTGTTACGTATGATCCCATATCTATCAAATTTAGATTTTGGACGTATCTGACCTTTATTTAATAAAGGTAATGCCCCCAATTTTTTTGGTTACAACAGGGTAATGGTGGGGCAATGATAATTGCATGATTGCATGATGATAATTTTCAGATCAAATTTTCATAATGAGGTAATTACAGGGAAAAATATTCATGCCGTACTTGAAATTGTTTCAAGGTCAGAAGATGTCAGTAGTAACCATATTAAACAATAGATTTTAATGCTCACAAATTTTAAGTTTTGCCATTTCAGTTCTTTCAAAATTAATGGGATAATGTTAACCCAAATTTCTCATGAGAATATTTTGGGGACAATGTTAACAGGAGAGAAACCGTGATTAAAAACAAAAAAAAAAAAAAAAAACTTGTTGATACCAACGTATTACCCTATTTTACCATATTAAGACTAATCCAAGCTGTGACCTCTTTTTTTTCTCATTCCTTTTCCTTTAATTTTCCAGTCTCATAAATAAACATACCCTGGATTGTTTCTGGGTGAGATCAGTACCCCAAAGGCAATTCATTCATGAAGGCAACCACCAGATTAGTCACATACTCTGGTCACATGTATCCCTGCTCTTTGATGAGGGCTATCTTGTGATAGACACAAACAGATCATCTCTGTTTTTAGGACGTCAAGTGAGGGACTGCTGTTTCCCTCATGATTTCAGACTCCAGTGCTCCTCTTCTTCTCTTCTTCTTTTTCTTCATGTGTCTGTGAACTTGTGCCAGGCCATGTGAAGATCACACTGGAGTGAAAGGGTGGGATAGGGATTTTTTTTTTTTTTTTTATGAAAAGCTATTGAGGTCAGGGAATGGGGAAAGTAGAGCAAAACCATGGTGATTACTTCTTGAAAATCCAAGACATCTTTTGGGATAGAGCTATGCATTTTTTAAAACGAAAAACCATGTGCTTAAAACAACACCAAAGCAGTTGAAGTGGGCTGTGAAGATTTGAAGTTATAAATTGTTTCGTTGCCTTAGCGGAACAAATGGTTCACAGGTTCACCAAAAAAAAAAAAATTCTTCATAAAAATATAAAAGCGCTACTGTTAATGTTTATAATGTGGTTTTAACCATATCAGTGACACTAGACTACGGTTTATTAAGTATGAGAGTGACTTTGCCAGTTTTATAAGCTGAAATATCTCAACAACTACACTGTTGTGTGATTTGGTAGAGGCACTCTTCCTTTGAATCCTTCCAACTTTCATTATGCCTGGATTTGATTCAGACAATACTATCCCCCAGAGGAGAAATCCTAATGACACCTGTGTAATCTTTTAAATGTCTCTGACTGTTGGGTAGATTGTCACAAAATCTGCTGCAAACATGCACAGTGAATTTGGCAGCTCTCTAATTTTTCATCAGCACCATCTTCAAATCAACTTGTAAAAAACCTGTGGCATTCGCATCAGCTCAGCCAGACTTTTTTTGGGGTAATTAGCAAATGTTAGCACACCCATAACTAAACTGATATGGTGAACTGAGTAAACATTAACTGATTTATGAATGCAACAAAACACACTTTAAATAACTTCAATGACACTGTTTATTTATCACCACTTGGTCTGTGTATGTATATGTGTGTGCAATTCTTTGCGCCTCACCATCTTTGATGTTCATATGTACTGTATTTGTGTATGCCTTCCCTGTATGATTGCAAAACCCTTCAATATCTTGCAGTGATAGCCCTCTGTCCTGTACATGATCAAATGTTCTGTTAGTAAAAATACACAACAGGCCAAAACAACTCAACTGGTTCTTTGCTACACACAGCAAGGCCCAGCACCTGTAAGTGGTGAAAAGTAACAATCAAATAAGATCAACTTAATTCTTGGTTCATGTGAAGGGGTTTTCTGAAGCACTCTCCCTTCACTTTAATCATCTTGATTTTGTAGCACTTGGTTTTATTAGATTGAATGACGATATGAGGTGTAGAAACTAACCAATGGTTACACAGTTTTCAGAAAAAAGTATATTGTATGCGTATATATATATATAGTTATATATATAGATTTATATTCATTTATAAGCTTTTAAAATAGCACAGTAAACACTTTGCACACATGATAAAAACCACTGAATGTGTCTGATTGTTTATGTATAGGCCAATGGCATCAAGGGAACCACACCCTCATCAAAGGAAATTTTACTTTCTCTGCAGTCAGTCAGCTCAGGAAGGAACATCAGAACTGTTACTACTTCAGAAATGAGAACATTCATTTGTGTGTGTATGTGTGTGCGTGTGTGTACGTGTGTGTGGTTTTTTTTATATAGATAAACTGAACATGAGGCTAATGAGCTTCTTTTTCTACGCAGTACTTTTGTTCAGAGCTCCTTCCTGAAGTGGCTTATCTGGAAAGATGATTGAACTCAGCGCTAGACCACATGTTCCTGTCTGTAATTGCAAGTTGGAATATTTTAGAGTTTGCACACTTTAACCACACAGAAAGAACAACAGAAACAAAAAAGAGAAGTTATATAAAGACAGTCAAGTTAAAAACCAGAGATACAGAATTTATAATACTTCACATTTTCTCTGCTTGCCCCTCTTTACCATGATTTTTTTTCATACCTGTACAACATCTGCTCTCTCTCTCTCGCTCTCCTCTAATTGTCTCTCACTTTCACTCTGGCAGTTTGTCTCCTTCCCGCAACACAGTCTCTGTACAGCTGGCTTAGTGGTGACCATAGAAATAGCTAAAGGGTTCCGTGTGACGTTGGTTGAAGTTTGTACAGAAACATTTGTTTTTTTTTCTTTTGTTTTTTTTCTTTATGTAAACAGGCACACACAAATTTCTAGAGGCTAACTCTTCAGTCAACAAAAACACCTTCTTGACTTAACCGTTCCCTCATCATCACACATGATTTGTATTCCTCTGTTTGTTTCAGTTCCTTTCCTCTGTCTGCTGATGACATTGTAATTTTCACATGGTCAAGAGTTTCGGCCCCGGTCTCAGTCCTGCTGAGAGAAATAAGGCCTTGGATTGCTCTTTTGATATCTAGAGGTTTACAGCTACTCAGTTTTTATTTCTCCTTTCCTCCCTCAGCAGACACAGCCAAGGCTTCGTTACAGTTCGCCACCCAAGATAATGAAGTTTAACCAAGGTTGCTGTTGTCCAGGTTGCCGTTTGTTTAGTTTTATTTCACTGTCTCCAGCATCAGTGTTGGTGGTCTAGTAAAGGAATTCACGCTGTCTCCGACAGATCCACATGGAATGAGCTAGCAAATCCTTTTGCGGGCTGAAAAGACAGAGAACACACTCGTTAAGACAAATGACACCCTTTCCCTCGAGGCTTTTTAGTGACACAGGCGGCTCGAAATACTATCTCTTGAAGGATACGTGCCACAAAGGACTCTCTGTGAAGTTATTTATACACCCTAGAGGCTGGTTCTCACAGCATAATTGTAAAACTAATTTGGGAATTGGGTAAAAACATGTCTATCAGTGAAGATAAATGCTCCAAAATTTGGTGGCTACATGATGCATGCGTAGAAAATACACAGAGCACTAATTGATTCATTAATTATCTATAAATGGATCATTAAACATTTATAAATACTTTATCAAGACAACCCTGGTGATCAGAGTATTGCCATAGCAGCATAAGATGCTATTTTTAAAAGTAGAATATATTGCCTATTGTTTAATAAAGTCTCAGCTTCTGGGACTATTCTGATAGCCTATTTTCTTACAGAATGATGAACAGCAAAACCTTTGCTGTGGCACAGCGGGTCCATTTATTTCAACTGATAAGAAAAAATGGAGGTAACATCAAAAAAGTAAATTGAAATAAAATAAAGTTGTGAGTTTTGGACTGAGCGAATATGGAGCACATTTATCCTAACCCTGCAAGGCAGACGAGATGAGCAGACACACAGGCAGCTATATTTGGAGCAAAACAAGCTCTAGCACCTAAAGGCTAAATACCAATTATTTTTCACACAGACCTGATGTGCAAGAAGAAGATTGCTTGCCTCTATTAAGTCACAAACAAGAAAAAAGCAGGTTATGGTGCTCATCGTTTACCTGAGAGACAGCCCACAGTCAGCATGCAGTATCATGGAGGGTGGTGGTTAACATGATGGTGACTTGACTGGAAATGACTTCTCTACTGAATGTGTATATCAAATCAATTCTCTACTCTTAGAGCTAATAGAATATTCATGTAATGTGGGAGCCTGGAAAGCAATTGAAGGTGCTAAGAAGTGTCCAGCCATCCTTTTTTTCCCCTTGCTTTCCTTAGAAATGCAAACTGGAAACTGAAGTCTCAATTTTAGTGGTTCAGTGATTATCAATATGTTTCTTTTGCCAAATTAAACTTACTTTATACTGCAATAGTTTCCTGCCTTCTTGCAGAAAACTTGTGTACGTGACATTGCCAACTGAAATATTTTGACCTCATTGTTGACAGCCCATCTCACCCACTCTTATTTATGTCATGTATTGATCCACAAGCAAGCAAGTATAGATACTCAACAGTTCCTTTGTAGAACAAAATGGACTTCAGTCCTTGTGAAGAAGAAGCAGCAGCGTGGGTTGTGTTTCACCTTTTGAGCTATTCAGTAAGGAAGTCATCATGCTCGAGCAAAACCAATGTTGAGCAAATGGAAAAAGATGTCCTCTACATCATGAGATGATCTGTCTTTTGTTTTCTCTTTGCATGCTCCAATCACACAATGTAGATATGTGGAAACATGACGTGTGCTTGTTTTGACAACCTTTACTTATATGAGCATCAGATAAAAAGGATTTTGAGGGGAGAATTTGGAAAAAAGGAAAAAGAAAGGGGCAACAGCAAATTAACACAAGTCCAATTCATTTTTTTATTATTACTTTAGAATAAGTCACATAATTACAAGCAGCATTTAGAGTTAGGGTGAGGTTGATTAAAAATTTAAGTGTCTTTTGGAGAAGGACAGTTAGAAATAGTTTACATTTTACAATTGATAAAATTAATGATAATTTACAAAAAAAAAAACAAAATCAAAAAACTTAACAGAACGATATAACAAAAGATAAAGCCGTAATTTTAAACTCCTTAATAAAAGAAGAAATAAAAGTTGATGAACATCATTAAAAAAGTCCAGATCAGAATCAAGAGGCAGATTCATTGTCCCCTCCTTTAGTATCTGTACTGGACCAGACCAAAGTCATAGGGTCCCAGGGACCTTTCATACTGATACTCACAGAGAAAGGTGGGTTTGTATGGTAGGGTCCCCCTATCATACTCTTTCCTCTCTAGCGTGCTGGAGCTGTACTGCTGTTGCTGCTGATGGAGATGATGGTGAAGGCTGTGGTGTGACTGTGACCTTTGGCCGTCCTTGCCAAAGGTGGAGAATGACCTATCGTTGGACGAGGCAGTGGACGAGGTCATGGTGAGTTGGTCGGAGAGGTTGACAGAGGAGGGTACCTCAGTGTCGGGCAGTGTGGCATCCATGCCGGGGACATGCAGATTGCTACGGTAGTCCGGCCCCTGACGCCCATCTGATGGCACAAAGGATGGCATCCAGCAGCGGTCAGAGTGACCCAGGGCCTTGCACTCTTCTGTACAGTTGGAGAACAGGTCAGTGCCTATAGAGAGTATTCAGAGAGAGGATGCCAAGTGCAAATGAAGAAAGCACAAATGGAAAGCCAGAAATGTTGATGGAGGACAATAAGTAAGAAAAAAGGAATGGGGTCATGATAAAAGAAGCAGTATAAATATTTGGAGTGGAAAGGGGAGATGGAGGGAGAGATGAGTGAAAGAAGAAGAGAGAACACAAGTTAGCAATCATTTGCCAATGTCGCAAGCAGAAAAAGTGCTGCAAAAGCTAGTCATCAAAGAGACAAGGCCAACATTGATGAAGCGAATTGTTTGTTTTCTTCCTCACCCCATTCATTCCGAATGAAATGTGCAATCAAAGTGATGTGGTGTTGAGAAAACATTTCAACCCCCCCACCCCCCGACATCAACATCCTCAGTCTCACAATTGATTTTGAAACACCAGGAGACAAAATGCGAATCTATATTCCTTCGTCTGTACACAAAAAACGATAATTATGTTAAGAAATGTGCCACAAAACCAACAAAATAGTCACTGGCTACATAACCACACTCTAATGTCAATCATCCCTATACCAACCGACAAAGTGTGTAATTGGCACACAGCTTCTGCCAAAAACAAAAGACCACATAAAAAAGATCAAATCAACTCTGAAATGATATAATAGAATGTCAAACACACTCACGCATAAACCCCAAGCATGAAGGAAGTACCAGTTGTGTTAATTAAACTGTCTCTGTGTCAGAGTGTGTGTGTGCTCATGTGCATAGTGGATTGTAGTTTTCCTGGCTCTCCAGTGAAATCTGGATGGTTTAGGAAAGCCTTCAAATGACGCGATAGAAGCAGGAGATGATCGGTTTTGGGTGAGAAGAGGAAAGAGATCTGTTTCATAAGGAAAGCGAAAAAAAGAGCAAGGGAAAGAAAGTGGGCGATAATTCCCTGTGGCTGAGTGGGTTTCAGATCTATTCTACTGATCCATTCAACTGATAGTGTCTCTATTGCTCCATTACTAACACTACACATGTACACACACAAACAAAATAATGTTAGAGAAAAAGCAGAGAAGCTAGACTCTTTTCATATTTTTTGAGAGGGTAGGGGTGTGTGGGAGAGTCTGTATAGTCAGTAGTGATCAGTGCAGTCATGTCAACGAATAAATGTGTTAATATTATCTGCCATCTACAGAGCATGTTTTTTTTCTGCCATTTCCACAACCTGTCATGGATTACAGATCATTTGAACCTATACATTCTTTTCTAAAAGACGAGAACTGAGTACAGAAGAAAGTATCCATAAGGTTCATATTGTTAGTTAAGTTTTGTTTGTTCTGTCTGGTAGATTGCAACTGCTTTGCTGTTTGTTATATTTCAGTATCATGACAATTTACAAATAAATAAATAAATAAACAAAATGAAGTTGCCCTGTTTCCATGTGTTCAATATAATGATCTGAGCAATCATCAGCAACAAAAGGTACAACCCGCACTTTCTGAACTTATTTTGGTGACCTCGCAGGCTATATGCATACTTGCAGATGTTAGTCAAGGCAAAAAAGCACTTGTACCTCCTTCTCATGTTTATCAAATTAAAATAAATTAATTGTAGTTCTAGTTAATGTTCTTCTGAACAATGCTAGACTAAATCTTAAGTGCACAAATAATGCAATAAAGCTGAATCCCTTGTTGTGGAGACAGAATACAGTATCTTTCATCATCTGGAAAGTATTATGTAGGCTTAATGCATTAATAATAAAGCTGAGATTTAGGTAGGATTTTTTTGTCTATCATTTTTATGTTAAGTGGGATAACTGGTTTCACTGTTTATGGATGCATTTATTTATTTATGTATTTATTTATTGAACTGCAACTAAGGTAATCCTTGAAAATACTGAAGACGGGGGAAAAAGGCTAAAAAATGATGAGATGAGAACAGCCAGTAAACGGTTACGTATTTCGAAATAACCTTAAAATTAATTAAATCTAATTCGATGCAAATTATTAAACATACAACAAAAACATTATTGTAGTTTTGACTCTGTTGTGTTATACATCGCCAGTTATTTTAATAGTAAATATTGACCACTGCACATGTAAATAACACAGCAATATCAGTCTTTATATTGTCAGAACTACCACTACAACAGATCCCATTTCCTTCTATTTGTGCGCGTCGTGTGGATCTAATCTTGCTAATTCATGCCTCATGGGGAGCGAGAGAGGCACAAGACTGTACAGTGACCAGAGAGCTAGAGACAACAAGGGCCAAACAGACTGGGGGGACTCACAGATTTCAGAAAAAGAGACAGCAGGCGGGTGAAACGGCAAGACTGCAGGAACCATAAGGAACGAGAGGGGAAACCTGGGCAATCACAGATGGAAAGAGCAATGGCCAGAAAAGACAAGGGAGACCCAAACCTTACAGATGGAGATGGGAAAAGGGCTAGAGAGAGGTGGGCTGAGTTGGAGGCTGGCTTTGATTTACCAGAAACAGCATTACAAATGTCCAATTAAACATTAGCTTTTATGTGCTTCAACCCTATTTCACAAATATTTTTTAAACATTCATTCAGATGCCACTTTTCTAATTCTAATTATTCAAGGCTGTGTGGAGCAGCTGCCTTATCTGAGTTTAAATAGTTTAAAATAGATATGTGTTAGAGCTGACAAGTTCTTTGTTTAGTATTTTACCTTACATATTTTGTTTGGTTACGAAAGATTTAAAGTCATGAGATATGTTTTTAGTTTGTATACACTGTCTGGTTTGATTGCCCCATGAGTAAGCACAAGTCACAGGTTTTTGCTGCCAAAGGGTGCATTTGTTTTTTATCATAGAAGGGATGTGGCTCAGTGGCAGCACAAACCGATCCGATGGAGAAGAAAATGAAAAATCTCTCAATTCCATCAGGACTAGTCCAGGAAAAGCTGCTCCAGGAGATATTTGTAATGCTGATTCCATTTTTGAGTGGCGTTTACTTCAATTTACCCTCCAATTCACCCCAAGAACTAATGTATATTTATGGTGTCTTTAAAGGCTGGGTGCATATAAATTATGGTATTTCTGTTAATTCCCACTTTTATATTTGCCCTTTAACCTTTTGGTGGACTATTCAGAAATGTCTCTTCTCACACGTGAAGGGCGTTGACCTCAGGCCACTTCCTGTCATTTCTGAGGTATTGTGTGGATAAAGAAATTGGGTGTCATAATGCATACATATATACATTCTTAAATGTATAAACAAACGAGCAGGAAGACTGAAGCACAGGTGCGTAAACCAGACATATATTTGGCAGAAACCACATGGTACCCACACCTGCATACCAATAAAAAGTTAATACTGAAGGATTATAAGAGAAAAGGTTTGTTTGTTCCGTATTTCTCATTTCTCAGTTCGCACTGTACTCTGGAGAGGATGTAAAAATATAGTCTGCTCTGCACTGTTTACCATATATCAGGCTGAAAGTCGTGTTACAGCTTCCGAAATGCTCAGTGATTTTTTGCCTGCCAACTCACTCTTGAAAAACTGACAACGTGAACATATATGTTTGCAAACACACATACATGCTTGAAATACTCCATTAATACAGAGATATGTAAATTTATACGAGCAAACAGACAGGGCATGCATACATGACACCAAGTAGCTGTTGATCCCCGTGAAGCACCTTTTCCTCCTCAGGCAGGAAGAAAAACAACAACCAAAACAGTGACTGGCAATGACAGGCCCTGCCAGCAGCCCTATCTCTCATTGTGACCTCATCAGGCAGGAAGAACACACATACGCACTCTCACATGCACATGCAGGAGACAATGTAAACGATGCTACACAATAAAAACCTGATCTACTTGCTAATAAGCAATCAGCACTTCTGTTCTTTTTTCTTTTCCTTTTCCCCCCCATTACAACTCTGCATGTTTCTGAAATCCCTTGTTGGTGTGATTTGACTAATTGCGCTGTCTGACATACATCCAGCAACAGCGAGCAGGGAAATGAAGGAAAACAATTTCTCAGGAAAACACGAGCCTCTAGTTTGAATTCATTTTGTGGGTTTACACTTAGATTTGCAGTCTCTCATTCTCTATTAGTCCCTATGAGTTTCTTTCCTTTCGTCCTCTGTCTCTCATTATTTTCTGTCACATGTAATTCTCCTTCTTTCCTCTCCTTGCCTGTTGCTTTTTCTCTCCTTATTTTGTTTTCTCCACCCTTAAAAAAAGAGCACTCCTGTTCCCCCAGGTGGAGGGTGTCTTCTATCCATACCTCTGTTTTTCATCTTGTCCTCCACTGCTCCAGAGAGAATACAGACACAAAACATCAATATTTGGACAGCAGCAGCGTACGGCAGGGGAGTAGCAGAGCTTCCTTACATGAGTTGGCCAGAGAGGCTGTGATGAGTAAACCAGAGACCTCCCAGGGCCAAAACAGAACAAGATGGCTCTCACAATTCTAGACGTAATGACAGACAGAAAAGAATGTTCCTAGCTACCATTTTCAATGTTTGTTAGGCAGCAACTACGCTGGGATGGAGAGCCAAGATGGCCCCTCCTGTAACAGTCACTGCTTGATTAAGTGTAAAGGGACAGTTTGTATGATTTGGACCTTTGTTGAATGCCAAGAATTACAGTGTACAGTTCTTTGACAAAAGAACTTCTGACAGCATCGTTCTACAAAATTTTGATTTATTACTACTTAGCTTTTCTTTTCTTATTTCTGGCCTTCAGATGTTATTATAAAATTGCACTCAGAGACTGTTGTTTCTAATATTTTACCTAATCTATGTATCGTGACGTCCTACTCTTTTTTTAATAGGTTTATTCAGGCAAGCTAGACCAGATGTTCAGTGACATTCATTTTCTGGAGAGAAAATGGCCAAAGCATGTTTATGACTCCCCCAGAGTTTGCAAATAGTCTTACGGCCTTACCTTTTACTTCGAAATTTTCAAGGCCTCATGTGAGGAAAAAAGAATACAATACTCTTTCACTTTTGATCTTGAGTTTTTAACAGATTCAAGGTATGTCCATGTACAGGCACTACAGCCATACTTGTGTCCTCTTTTTTCAATCACTTCAGGGTTAAAAACACATTCAGTTTATTCAAAAGCTATACCCTATTTATACTGAAGAGGGTATTCATCAAGGTGCTAAAGTTGTTTGAGTGTATTAGTAATCACTGCAGGACATGTTCCTATTGTGGTTTCTTTTTCACACAGAGAATCCTCTTCCATCTACCTTAGCCATGTTACAAAGAGGTCATTCAAAATGGAAACTGTTTAAGTGCTTCCACAGAGATAAGAAAGACATCTTGCAGGAATCTGAGCAATCTCGTCAATTAGTTAATCAAACTGATTGCCAGAATTCTCTTTTATCTTTCTCTGCTCTGATTTGTATTGACTATTTTTGAATTCAACAAATGAGTCGTGTTAGTAGAAGAGATGCCATGTCTGCCTATTTCAGGTAGAATGCAAAGTAATTTTTTAATGAGAAAATGTTTATTTTTTTCATTCTGTTTCCTGCAGAAGATTTTGCAGCGAGCTCTTTTCAAATTCTTCCAATTCAAAGGCAATAAGTGTGGATCTACACAATGAGTTCACCAAACTTCCATCATGCCATCTTCGTTCAGAGGTTGCACATTTACGAAAGTATTCTGCTGTCATTGTTTCTTGTTAAAATAGCCGTTCCTTAAGAGCAGTGATTTTAAGCAAAAAATTGCTAAACATTTGCTGATTCCAGTGTTGTTGCTTGTTTTATACGATAGTAAACTACATATCCTTTGGACTGGTGGTCAAGACAAACAAGCAATTATGTAACAATATTTTTAGGCATTAAACCATTTAGAGCTTTGAAATGATTTCAGTCAGAAATTAAACTAAATAAATGATGAAAAACATGATGCACAGCCAACTGATGACACAATAATTGTTAGTTGCAGCCTTTGTCTGGTGTTACTATTTTAACTACGGACTTGAAAAGGTTTTCATGAGTGAAAGCTTTTCGGTTATGACTGTTTGCCTTTTGTTTGTCATTTTCACCTAAGCAAAGGAAATGTCTTCCGAATGCATTTGTGTATTTTCTTCCCCTCAACTCCTTTTCGTTCGAGTTTCCTTTATGCAAGCTTTTAAACGAAAACTTGAGATGTTCTCTTAATCATCTCACAGATTGCATTTGTTTGTTTATGACATTCTTTTGGCATAAATCTATATTTCTATGCAAACCATTTGCCCTTTAGTGTCTGGGACAATGAGAGAAGGTGGTATCAAAACACTGTGTGCTAAATTCCTCTGACAGCTTACTGACATGGGAAACTGCAACACTGTGGCCGCCACTAATTCATAATCAGCCATCTAATACACCGTTGCCACAGTGATTTAATTGTCTCATTTGTCACGGCTGTTGTTCTCACCATAACAAACGTCATGATAATGATCATTTCCAGTCTCCCACCCGTCACGCAGTCTTCCACAGCTGATCGAATGTTTCTGTGAAGCCAATTTTTTTTCCTGATGAATATTTTATCCTCTCTTAAGTGTCACCTTTTTTTCTTACGTTCACTCACTCCTGTTGTCACCTCCAATTTAGATGATGGGAGAGCAGTGTATAATTTGGGAAAAAGAAGTCTTGGGCTATAAAAGGTGTGGCAGTCAGTCAATAGTGCTTCAGCTGTTGATGAACCAGTGCCTCACTGCAGACACGCTGCTTTGAGAAAAAGCCATTTGCCCACTTTTTAAAGGTATCTGGTGGCTCACAGGCAGTGTCCCTTTGATTTAAAACCACGTCAGGAGACTTATTTTCTAAAGTGTCAGCCGAGCGGCCGAGCGGAAAGCTAAGGCAGGTGTAGTTGATGATATGCCAACTGGAAATGGTTTTCCCTTGATTTGAAATATTCTGAGGTGCACAAAAAAGGAGAGTGTGCTGTGCGGTCCCATGAGGAAACCTTGCCTCTAACCCTCCTTTGATAATTGCTATGCAAAGGATCTAGAAATGAATTACTGATCAGCCGAGTGTTGCGGAGAGCCAACGTGTGGGGGAGACAGAATGAAGGATGAGACCCTGCCACAAACCCAAGAAAAGAATATGTGTGTGTCAGGCAAACGCATGCACACACAGAACACAAGCATATGAAGTGTTATCTAGGCATAGTCATGTCAAACACACAAATATATATGCATATTTGTGTGTGCGTGTGTGTGTGTGTGTGTGTGTGTGTGTGTGTGTGTGTGTGTGTGTGTGTGTGTGTGTGTGTGTGTGTTCACAGCCAAACATATGGTTGTGAACACAGGTTCTCAAGAAACACATAAAAGTACATCAGGTCAGTACAAAGTCATCATGGCTCAGGCTTTGGCAGTCTGGCTTTCTACTCGCACTAAACACAAAACTCATACAGGAAACAGCACATAATAACACAACTAAACTTACAGAAGCTCGCAATCCACATAAGACAACCAACAGCATTCCTGTCCCTGTATATTATTAAGTAACACAGAGAAAAACAGAGACACAAATGAGCAGTATGTACACCTATATAGAGAAAATATATATATATGGCAAAGTGCCAACTGCTTTCCTCTTAAACTGAATCTCATTTAAGCTTCACACAGCACCATCTCAAAGGAGAAAGCCGTTTCAATACAGACATCATCACTGAGCCTTGTGTTCTACACAGCACACACACAAGCAGATTCAATACAGGTATCATGTATACACCTACATATTAAATCAGACAATGGTATACCTTTACACCTACACAGACACACACTCCATCTGGTTTTGTTTACAGAAGTCTGAGAAACTCAAATGTCCCTCTTTCCAAAATACCAGTCGTGTGATATTACCTCCCATGGAGTGTTAAGCTGTTCCCTTCTAAATCCAACATGCGGACCAAATGTTGGTTTCCTGGTATGAAATACAGAGTACAGCACCAACTGTGTACACTCCCAGACCAGTGCCAAATGAGGTTTCTAGGAGCCAAATAAAGCTGAAGAAACATGTTACCGATTCAAAAATGTAGGTCTGTAACTATACTAGCAAATCGTCACAAAGGAATTCAAGACAATTTTCCACATAAAATAAGTGATAAAGTACAGTCTCAGACTTGTCCAGGATCATGTTAGGACTTATTCCTTTCTGATATCTTGAGACATATATCACATACTTATACATCCAATGTTCCTTGTTGTCTTTTTTTTTTTTTTTAATCTGATCTGCTGGTTAACATTGGGCAAAATTCTTGAATAACAGCGAAATGCTACATGCATTCCAACAAGAGGTGTATGTTTAAGCAAACCCATTAATCATTTCACAAGGGTTTTTTCTGATAAAAAAATAAGGGAGTTTTGGATTTCTTCCAATTCTGTAGTTCAGTCTCGCACAGTTTGACCTTCCCAGCCTGTTTCATGAGCGAGGGCAGAGAGTGACACTACCACTGCTGCATACTGGCTCTCTATTTTGGCTTCGTTCATTAACAATGTCAAACACAGGAGAGCCTAATGAGGGACCATTCACTATCCTACAACACCTATCTGATCTTTTCTATTTGTATTCTCAGCATTGATATGATATTTGGCTGGCTCCCGTCTAGACAGGGGTCTTACACGCGTCGTGTGGAACAATCCCTCAGAAGGAAAGGGCAGTTCAATATGAAATGAGATTTTGTATTGCTCCACTTTTTGCCTGACTCCACTTTGATCAATAAACAGGTAAAAACCTAATAGAATTTTAGATAGAACAAGGCTAGCCTTATGATAAGACCCAAAGACATGTCTAAAGAAATCTGCATTGTTTTAAAGTGTAAAAGAGAAATGAGTGAGTAAACAGACCTGAAATATGAGTGTAGGTGGGGAAATGTTACCTAATCCTGATATTTTACCTTTATTTTAGCTGCAAAAGCTACAAAAAAAAAAATGCAAAAGGTACTAATATTTTTTGATAAGCAGAATCTATACATCAAAGGTACTACAACACCCCAAGTGTAATGCTGATTGAAATGCTTCTCATTATATCAATTTAGCTTTAATGCCTTTCATTTCACTTCAGTGAGGATATTGATTTGTGCCACCAAAGCACTATAGGCCTCACACTGCCTTAGTGCCATTTACTGTCCTTTCAGCACCACTTCATGCTGAAACAGCAGCAGACTTAAAACGAGAGAAGTCGGAATGCAAGGAAGGAAGAAAGAGAAGAGATTTCCCCCCAAATTTCCCTCCTTTTCACCCGGCTGTGAAATGTAATCAACACCTCTGGGGCCCAGTTCGTGCCAGCAAGCAACCTCGGAGTCTAGGCCTTCGCACTCTCTCAAATTAAGGAAATTAAAAGTCACCGGTCCGCACCAACAATTCAGCTTTATCCCATTCACAATAACAAACACACACTATTGAAACAGATCAGGGTAGGGTGTGTGAGGGCTAATATGTTGGTGTAATTATGTGGGGTAACTCACCGGCTGAATGACCCCGGTTTGTGGCATCATGGTCACTGTCACCCTGTTCGCTGTCACCGTGACCACTGTCTTTGGAGCTAACAATATCTGCTTCTTGAAATGCCGAACTAAAAGAGGCAGTGGGGAGGGCAGAGAGTTGAGGTATGAAAATAGTAATAGGGCAGAAGGAGAGAGGTTGAGACAGGGAAGCAGGAGACGAAGAGAGAAGCCAGGATTAAAAGGGAAAGGAGAAGGAATGGGAGAGTCAGAAATCAACACCACATTAATATAGTCACGGTGGCCATCAAGAGTCTAAATTGGATGTTACACATGGCATGTAATGAAATCCAGCATTACAGCTTTAATAGACGCTACTCCGTCAGTTATGGGACTGATGCCAAATTGAAGATGAGTGTTATGGATACACTGGGAACAGTGTAGCCTCTCAAAGCCACAATTAAGGATGCAGAATATATGGGATTCACACTGATGGTTGTAATATTCATTTTTATAGACATATGAATAGGTTGTGGCTCCATGAGGCATATTGAATGTTACAGGTCTTCTGATGGTGGATTGTGTGTGGCTCTTTAGGCTCTGTGATTTGGAGATGTTTCAGTGTCTGTGCATGTGTCGCTAAATGTGTGCTTTTCACTACCTGTTGACACGTCTGGGTCTGTCCACAAGATAGCTGAGTTCTGCTCGTTGGTGTTTTGTCTAGAAAACCCACAGACAACATTGGTCACATGTGATGCCGAATAAACAGAGGAGAGAGACATATGTTTCAAAATAAGAGAAGCATTTAAAAACATATATGGATACACTTGATGTCAACGTGTAACTGTGTAGAATAAGTTGTGGCTATGTGAGGCGGGGTACCGACGGTGCGCGCATCCACTTGGTGAGTGAGTGGGCGAGAGGAGACGAGAGTAGGGGAGAGTAGGTTAGGGAGGCGATTGAATGCGTAAATGATTGAGCCGCGCGATGCTGAAACTGAACAACCTTTGTTCACCGTGCTGCCGTGCTGGGTTGTGCACGGAATACTTAACGCACAGAAAAGGCAAGGCTGTGACTGGCTGTCTGGCTCCAGTCCAGCCAAACCGCAATCAACAAAAAGCCCCAACTCCACAGCTCCGCTGGCAGAACGCACAGACTGAGCACATCAAGTCTATTGAAGCCGCTGGTCTCATATCTTCTTATAGATTCTTATATTTGCCACGCAAACTTTATAACCTCCTGGGGACATGTGCAGTATTTTGTTTATTTATTTTTTAAAAGATCCACTGTTAGGGAAAGATTCTGGCGTTGCTAAACCAGCAGAGCGAAACGCTCTCCGGGCGATTTTTTTTTTGCACATTATAGTGCTTTATTGATTACATACTCCCTTCTGTGTAATTTAAAAAAAATACATTCGTTTGAATGACCAATATAAGTTCCACAACTCTCCAACGTGTAGCCTAAAATTCATTAATTATTAAAATACTTTTGTAAAATTCACAAATTACACTGTTGGCCCTTAAGTGGGAACTGGTTAATATGTGCGTCAAATTAAATCGTTTTTACTGAATAAAGAATAAACATTAAATAAAACACGTTTTTCAACTTGGTGGTCTAAAGAAATTGGCAAGTAAAGAAAAATATCTGGCGCACTCAACTTCTTCGCACGACGTAAAGGGTGATCTAACAGCAATCTGTTACCAAAAAAAAAAAAAAAAAAAAAAAAAAAAAGGACTACCAGATTTAAAAACTGACATGTCCAATCACCATTAAGCATGACAGCGGTTAAAGGCCACTAAGCACAACAGCCAATGGCACATTCCTTTATAAGTCTTTTGAGAGAGTTTGGCATTAGAACAGCTTGCCATGCCTAAAAACTGGGTTAACTGTTGAAATTGGGGTTTTGTGCTCTTTTGATGCAGCTCAAAATGTAGCCCAGAGAGACTGCTAATGCTGATTCAGGCCTCTCTTACCTCATTAGACAGGATACTGCCATTAGATATGATGTCCGGCTGTTGGTCACTGTAACCAGTGACTATGGCGCCGCAGGGGTTGGTGTGATCTGTGTCAGTGCTGCGAGAGGGGCTGCATGGTTTCAGAAACATCAGATCCGTTTTGGCAGATTCCGGTGTCAGACACACCTGGTAGCAGTAGGAATTCTGGTTTTGGTGATGGTGGGAGCCGAACCCCCCTCCTACGCCGCCTACACCAGACTCCTCCACGGGCACCTGCCCCACGGGCCCGACTCCTGACGTTACATTGGTGCTCTGAACTAACATGATGTCGGATTTACTTAGCTTTTTCTGTTTACGGCCACGAGCCTGCCTGCTGCAGCACGAGCCACAGCACAGGCAGCAGTCACCAGCAAGCAGGCACGTGTATATGTTGAGCTTCTTGTCCTTTTGGCAGCGCACGGCCAGCACGATCATGGCCAGTAGGAAGATAAAAGAAACAGAGCCCAGGGCAATGATGAGAATTAGGGTGAGGTCAAGGGAGGTCTCTTTTGTCTTGGAAGCTGAGCCGCGATCGACACCGCGGCCTTCATTCACGCTGTCCACTAAAATTACACTCACACTGGCAGAGGAGGACAGAGGTGGCTGCCCGTGGTCCCTCACTTCGATCAGCAGGTCATAGTAGCCCTGGGGATCCCGTTTGGGAGATATCCTGCGGGCTGTTCGTAGTTCCCCTGTCCTCCAGTCCATGCGGAACATTCCCATCTCGTTGCCCCGTAGGATGCTATATGACAGGCGTGCGTTCTCTCCATCATCTGCATCCATGGCCACAATGCGCGTCACTAGATAGCCTGGTTCCGCAGAGCGTGGCAGGTGCTCTTTGGCTGTGCCGTTTTTGCCGATAGGGGCTATCACAGTAGGAGCGTTATCATTTTGGTCAACTATGATCACATTTACAGTAGCGTTAGAGAAGAGCTCGGGAGCACCTGAGTCCTTAGCCTGGACCATGAAACTGAACTCCTTCAGCTGCTCGTAATCAAAAGAGCGTAGTGCGTAAAGGTAGCCAGTGTCCTGATTTATTGACACATATGTGTCCACGGACATGCCCTGTATGTCACACTCCAATATGGAGTAGGTTATAAGAGCATTTTGTCCTACATCGGGGTCCAAAGCGCTCACGGCGTGAATGAAAGCACCGGGCACGTTATTCTCAGTCACATATACATCATAAACAGCCTGCGTAAATCGGGGCGCGTTGTCATTCTCGTCGGAGACGTGCACTTTAATTGACTTGCTGGTAGCCAGGGAAGGCTGACCTTTGTCTTTAGCCACCACGGTTATGGTGTATGAATCTGTGTTCTCCCTGTCCAACGGTCCGTCTGTCACAATGGTGTAATAGTTTTTAAAGGAAGATTTCAGCTTAAAAGGAACATCCCCTAAAATTTCACAGCTCATTTGTCCATTCTCATCAGAATCCCTGTCCGAGACGCTAAAAAGTGCGATCACGGTGCCCGGGGCGTCCTGCTCGCTCACAGATTCAGTCACAGTGCTGAAACCGATCTCTGGTGTGTTGTCGTTCACGTCCACGAGTTTGACAAGCACTTTGCAGTGCGCGGGGACCGCATTAGCTCCCAGATCTTTAGCCTGAACATAGATCTGGTGCGTGACACTCTCTTCATAGTCCACCTCACCCGCTACCTCTATCCTACCTGTTCTGGCATCAATGTTGAATAATTCCTTTATCCGCGGTGTGTTATGATTGCTGAAAGAATAAACGATCTCTCCGTTTTGTCCCTCATCAACATCAGTAGCATTGAGCTGAATCACGAGAGTGCCCACGGGTGAGTTTTCCCGCAGATTAACCGTGTACACGGACTGGTCAAACGTGGGCGCGTTGTCGTTAGAGTCCAGAACTTTAACGACCAAGAGAGCTGTCCCGGTCCGCTGCGGGATGCCCCCATCCACAGCCGTCAGCACATAGCGGTGCACTGCCTGCTGCTCTCTGTCCAGCGGTTTCTCCAATACCAGCTCCGCAAACTTGTTCCCGTCGCTCTGTGTTTGCACGTCAAGGTAAAAATAGTTGTTATTCGTTATGGCATATGTACTGAGCGCGTTTGTGCCAACGTCAGGGTCGAAGGCGTTCTCCACCGGGAAACGGGTCCCGGGAATAGCGCTTTCCGAGATTTCCACAGAAATGTCTGTTTCAGGAAATCTGGGTGGATTGTCGTTGATATCCATCACCTCAATCTCCACACGAAAGAGCTCCAATGGATTTTCCAGAAACACCTCCAGGTGCAATAGGCACTGGGTGGTCTGCTTACAAATTTGTTCCCGGTCAATTTTTTCCTTCACCACGAGCGCACCGTTCTCTAAGTTCACCTCCAGATAAGGTGTCCGTGAACTAGGCACAGTCTGAAAGTGGCGAGCGGAAAGTTTGGTAATGTCCAGCCCCAAATCCTCTGCAATATTCCCAACCACAGAGCCCGGTTCCTGCTCCTCTGGCACCGTGTAGCGTAGCTGAGAGGCAGCTCCATCCAGAGTGGAGAGCAGGAATATTAACCAAATCATCTCCTCTGCCTCTGTCCAAGTGCACTTCAAAACGGAAAAAAAAATAAATGTTATTCCCTCTTCTCACAAGAAATGAGCATTTCCCATTTTCTCTGTCCGTAAAAGGGCAGTGAAATAAACAGCAACAAGGCTGCACGACTTTGAAATTCCTCTCCTCTGCCTCAGGTCAGTGGAACATTGTGTCGTTTCAGCTGTGAGAAGCACAGCCATTTGATCCGAGCTTCTCTGTTTTAATCAATTCAGCACCGGTCTGTGAGTTTTGGCGTCAGCGCAAACATTGCAGGCTGGAGCCAGGACGCATAGCCAACTCATAGCCTCTGCACAGAACAGACTGCCCCTTCTTCACAGAAAAAAAGTCACAAAACAAAACAGGAAATTCCACACCAGCAGAGAAAGAACGCAAAAAGTCCTATTTATGCACAACCGAAATCAGCAACAAATATAACTTCTAAAGAAAGCCTGGCGAATAACACGACTTTCTCCCTATCTTTCTCTATGAGGATGTAATCACTGCGCCTAAGCGCTCAAAGCGGATGATGTTCACAGCTCGGCTTCTGTAAAGCAAGTGTGAGCAGCGAGGTTGGTTTTGCGCACAGCTCCTTTCCCCACCAGCCAATGATATTCTCAAACAGCGGGTGTGATGGCACCTGATTGGGGCTCCGCAACGCCAGCCAGAGAACACATCGGACCCTCATAACAAAACCAGTTAAGTGCCGCTGCGCTCCTCTCCTCTCCTCCCCTCTTTCCTCCAGGCCCAGCCTCAGTTGTAGCAGGGAAATTAAATGTTTTACACATCCAGTGAATTAAGAAAGTTGAATAATAGTGGGTGCTAGTTGGCGTTGGCGGGGCTGTGTAGATAAAACTGAAGCTTCCGTCGAAATAGTGGATTTTTTGAAAAGTTTTTTTTAACCTTATTCGTATTACTATCATGAGGATTCCTTTTTTGTTCCAATATAACAAATATCTCACAACTTGTTAGATGAAGAGCCATGACCCTCGTGTGGCTGTCCTTGACGCAATTATTTCAACAGTTTGCTATTAAAGCGCTGCTCTGATAGCAAAGCATGAGTCAGACTGTACCAAGCATACTCACAGCCAAAGACCACCATGTAAAATGCCTGCGCAAGTAAAGACAGCTAGTGACGCAATACTCCAAAGTGCCGTGGTCACTCTCGTCTCTCTCTCTCTCTCTCTCTCTCTGAAATGCACACATCTCAACAGGATATTGGAGGAAAAAATAAAGCATTTTAAATAAAGTATACATATATCCAATGCAATTTCCTGACGAGTATCAGTATGATACAAGGTTCCATCAGAGCAGGATCACACATGACTTACTTTAATTCAGAGAAATGAAGCGTTGTACTTTAGTCCTACCGTGTTGCTAATAGCCTAAAGCCTATTAGTTCTCCCATCTTCCCGTTTTTATCATTAACCTCCTCACATGATGGCCTTAACGTTAACGTTGCGTCATGCGCTAATTAAATTCATAAAGCACATATTAAAAATGCAAATGGTGGAGTTTTGAGAGAGATACGAATAGTGGGGGTCTAACTACTTGCACACCATTTGGCGGATGACGACAAAAAGATGAAAAAGAGCGTAATTGAGGCTAATTAGCATAAGTCTCTAATTCCAAATGTAATAGATGGAGCGAAACAATATCGGCCGTAATGCAAAACGACGTGCCCATTGTGCAGTGGATTAAACAGCGAGTGATACGCGATTCTGCATCTCGCCATACAAGTCAGGAGAAACAAAGAGGAGACGTTAGATGAATTTCTACCCATGTCTGAGCTGGAGCTGTGTGACTGAATCGAGCTGACACTGGAGTCGAATCGCAGAGCGGTGCGCTCTGCATCTCCTCTCTCTCCAGCTCTCTCTCTCAGTCGCGCTCTCCGTCCCTGTCAGGGAGTTACAGACCAACGTCGCCCCCTTGCGTTAGCCCACTTTCTTTTAAAAAATTCTGTTGATAAAGAAGAGCCAACAGAACCGTTAATGCTATTTTCTAATTAAATGAACATTCACCCAGTTCCGTGGAAGGAAAGCAACATATTACATTGCTGAACTCTACTGAAATGTTCTCTTTTGTTGCTCATTCCACTTCAACATTATATCTTATTGTCCGTTTAATAAGTCTTGCTGGTTTTTATTGATACAGCGGTGAAGTATATATATATATCTATATATATATATAGATATATATATATATATATATCTATATATATATATAGATATATATATTAATTCAAGTAACAATAGCAGTACTATTGCAAGGAAAACCTCTGTATATAGACATAAAACAAGTCAATACTGGAAATATTATACTATAGATTCATTGTTATGCTTACTTCATTTTAATTGTAGCAGGAGAGACAACTACAACCCTTGAGTTATGGAAACAATGCTAGTTGGCACTTATGGCAGTTATGAACGTGTGAATCATGAATAGTTCTGTATACAACCTTACTTTATTTTATAATAATGACTTCAAGAGAGAAGGTGCAACCTATTTAGAAATGCATCACATTAGAAGTATGAATTATAATAATAAGGTAACACTTAAGTAAAATGCCTCTTAGTTGTTTTTAATTGCGCTGCTTTGTCACGATCCTGGGTCTTAGGACCCAGTGTTTTGAGTTTTAGTTCATTTTGATGTTTATAGTATGTTTAGCTCATTAGGCCTCCTATGTTGATTTGCTTATTAGTTCCCCCTTGTGTTTCAACCCATGTTAAGTCTCCCCTGCCCTTCATGTCTCTCTGTGCCCCCTCTGTTCTGTTTATGGTGTGTCTTTGCATGTTGGAGTTTCTTGTTTTCTGTCACCCTGCATTGTGCATTATGTTCTCATGGTTGGTCTTTTGTTACTCCCTCTAGTCTAGTCTCTTGTGTTCAAAGCTGAGTATTTCCCTCTGTGTATTTTGGTTCTTAGACCTCTGCCTTATGGTTTGTCTCTGTTTCTTAGTTGCTGTCTCCACCGTGTCTAGTTCGCGTCTCTGTGTGATACTTCCTGTTTTACTTTGAAGGTCCATGCCTCATGTGAGTGTTTCTAGTTTTGCGTCTCTGTCTCGTCCAGTCCTGATTTCTCCCAACTGTGCCCTCCTTCTGTGTCTCATTCCCTCGTTATCCCTCTGTGTATTTAAGCCCTGTGTTTCTCTTTGTCAGTGTCGTAGTCTCCATCATAGCTGTGTGATTTTTCCCTGTGGCTCCTTGTGCTTTAGTTTTCCCAGTTTAGTTTATTTTGTATTGTTTTTCGTGTCCCACTCCACGCCAGCAATAAAGCTGTGTTTTTTGAGTTTACCTTTTGTCTCTGTGAGTTTGCGTTTGGGTCCTCTCTTGCCTGCCACACAGCCGAAACATGACAGAAGACTACGACCATTACATGGACCTAGCAAACCGCTCTCAGCTGCGTGAGCGTCAGGATGCTGCCTTTGCTGAGCTAGAGGAGGAGCTCCGCTTGAGGCCGTGGTGCACTCCTGACTACGGGCGGATTTTCCGAGGAACGCGGCTGGCTCTCGGTGGTCCCCGGAGCTGCCGAAAGCCCCCACCTGCCGCTTCACCTGCACCCAAGCCGCGGCCGCTTCAGGTGGGAATTCTCCGCGTCCCTTCAATTGCCCACGCTCCAGCCTCCGTGTCGCCGTTCTGCACGCCGGAGGCTCGGCTATTCTCTCCGCCCGCTTCCCCTCCCCGTAGGAAGCGGCGCACACGCCGCAATAAGATGGACCATGTTAAGCAACTCCCGGTGGTGAGTAACACTGATTATCCTTCTTCCGCTTCTCTGGACATTAAGAACAATAGACACACTCCTGATCCTGTCGATGTGTCCCTGATGGACGATGACATAGACTGGGAGAAGTTTTTTCATTTTGCTCCCTCTGAACAGGGAGAAATCACAGACAATAAGCACTCGCCAAAGGCTGTAAATGCTGTTAAAGGGAAAACTGTGAACCACTCTACCAGGTCAAACACACTCAGTTCCGGTTCCGTCTGTTCGGGTTTTGTCAGGTCCGGTTCAGTCATCCCCAAGTCAGCTCACTCTACAACTGTCAACCCAAGGATTTCAAAATCTATTAAAACAAGGACTGCTAATACTAAGACTGCAAAACATGAAGTGGACGGCGGGTTCATTTTTGATAGATCTGTTTTTGTCGACCCTGAGCCTGCCGTTTCTAAGACTGTTTTTTCTGAGCCTGCTCCTTTTCCTGCTCGTGTTTCTCCTCCCGGGGCAGCTCGGGCCCAGCGTACCTCTGCACCCGTACCAGTTCCTCGGGTGGGGGAGGCTGAGGCCCAGTTGGTCCCTGCTCTGGTTTCCAGGCCGGCTGAGGCTCTGTCCCTTTCTGCACCCGTACCAGCTCCTCGGGTGGGAAGGGCAGTTGCTCAGCCATTGCCGGTGCCTGTTCCGGTCCCCAGGGTGAGGTCAGCCAGGATACAGCCCGTCTCCGCACCCGTACCTACTCCTCGGGTGGGAGTGGCTAGTGTCCGGCATGCTCCTGCACCCGTCCCTGTTTCTACTGAGGGCTCAGGAGAATTCAGTCCACAACCATCACCACCATCACTACTGCATGCTTTTCAGTCTATAGCTCAGTCATTAGCTCTGTTAGCAGCCCAGTCCATAGTTCACTTTCCTGTGCTTCCGTTAGCTCAGCCCTTAGCCCATTGTTCAGCTCAGTTATTTGCTCCATCACCTGCTCAGCCTTTTGTTCAGCCAGTAGTCTCGGCACCTACTGGTCCTGCCACTGCTTCTGCTGGAGGGCCCGAGGAGCCCGTCCAGCCTCATGCCTCGTCAGCTGGAGGGTCCGAGGGGCCCGTTCAGCCACCTGTCTCCGCTGGAGGGTCCGAGGGGCCCGTTCAGCCACCTGTCTCCGCTGGAGGGTCCGAGGAGCCCGTTCAGCCACCTGTCTCCGCTGGAGGGTCCGAGGAGCCCGTTCAGCCTCACGCCTCGTCAGCTGGAGGGTCCGAGGGGCCCGTTCAGCCTCCTGTCTCCGCTGGAGGGTCCGAGGAGCCCGTCCAGCCTCACGCCTCGTCAGCTGGAGGGTCCGAGGGGCCCGTTCAGCCTCCTGTCTCCGCTGGAGGGTCCGAGGGGCCCGTTCAGCCTCCTGTCTCCGCTGGAGGGTCCGAGGAGCCCGTCCAGCCTCACGCCTCGTCAGCTGGAGGGTCCGAGGGGCCCGTTCAGCCTCCTGTCTCCGCTGGAGGGTCCGAGGGGCCCGTTCAGCCTCACGCCGCATCAGCTGGAGGGCCCGAGGAGCCTGTCCAGCCGCCACCTGCGACCACCTCGTCGTCGCCTGGTCCGGCTGCATCCGAGTCTTCGTCGTCGCCTGGTCCAGCTGCATCCACCTGTGCTTCTGTTACGCCTGGTCCAGCCTCTGCCTGTGCTTCTGTTACGCCTGGTCCAGCCTCTGCCTGTGCTTCTGTTACGCCTGAATTTGTTTTCATTTTTATCACTTACCTTGACCTTCCTCTTTGAGATGTAGAATGATATAATGAGCCCATAACATGTGCTTCAGCTTCTGCTCGAAGTGTTAGCTCAGTTGACATCTCCATCAGTGATTGAT